AGCATCTGGCGGGGGCTGTTGTCTGCTTCCAAGACGGTGCCTTCTCCTTGAGTCCTCACATGGAGGAAGAGAAGGAAGGGCCGGGCAGCCTCAGTGATGCAGCTGTCCTAACCATCTGCCTCCCACTTCCCCAAAGCAGAGGGCAGCTCTCTGGGGCAGCCCACCATGGGTTCCAGCCCTGGGGCCTGCCTTGGTGAGAAGCAGCAGGGGACCGGCAACAGCCTGGGCGGTGTGTGGCAGCCTGACATCATGTCAGGGAGTTAGGGGAGCTCCAGCCAGTGCAGCGATGCAGCTTGTCCCTCCTACTGACAATGTTCATTATCTTCTGTCGAGCACCACCTTGGTCATGAGTTACACAAGGCACTTAATATACTCATTCCTTTTCTTTTTATTATTATTGTTCAACTTCTCTTTTTAAGAAACAATCTAAAAAATTTCTAGTTGCAAAAGTATTTTCTTTCCACTGTAGAAATTTGGGGGATGGGAGGATAGAAGATAAAAATAGAAAAAAATCCCCCATGCTTACCTCTAGAAATCATGAGTTAACACTGGGTAAGGAGAGCATTTTTTTTTCCAATATATTTTATTGCTAATCCTTACAGCAAACCTGTGAGGTTTATTTTTATCAACCCATTTTTTAAACAAAGCAAGACTAACAAACGTTAAGTAACTTGCCAGGATACAGCACCAGTCATTGGTGGATATTGGATGTGAATTTGTCTCTTTCTGGTCTTGGGCAAGGCACCAGGCCAGACTCAATAGTAAGGGAAGGCGGCAACCAGGGGAGGACGAAGACCCACACAACATGCTCACGGAACTTAGATCTGGAACCTCCTGCCCAGGCTTCTTAAAGTGTCTGAGGGCAAAATAGGACTTGAAGAGAAGAGAGGATGGCAGGAAAGACTGGTAGAGAAGGAAGAAGAGATGCTTTGGAGGGGAAGAAGCTGGCTGGTGGAGGGACAAAAGGAGGAAAAGGATAGATGAGTAAGAAGAAAGGAAGTAGGGAGAGAATGCTGGAGGAAGAGATGGCAGGATGCGAAGGAGGCTGGATGGAAGGACAGATGCTTATTAGGAAGGAAACAAGTATACATGAAGGATAGGAAGGTGTATTAGTCAAGGTTCTCTAGAGAAACAGAAGCGATAGGATATCTATAAATATAATAAGAGGAGATTTATTACGGGAATTGGCTTATGCAATTATGGAGGTCAAGAAGTCCCACCATCTGCTGCTGCGGGCTTGAGAACCAGGAAAGCTGGGGGTGCAATTCAGTTCGAGCCTGAAGGCTCCCAGACTGAGGCCAAAGGCCTGGGAACCAGAGATGGAAGGCTGGGGACACTGGTATAAGTCCCAGAGTCTGAAGGCTCAAGACCTAGGAGCTCCAATGTCCGAGGGCAAGAGACAATGATGTACCAGCTCGAGAAGAGAGAGCGAATTTTCCACTCTTCCTTCTTTTTGTTCTGTTCGGGACCTCCACTGATTGGATGATGCACACCCACATTGCTGAGCATGGATCTTCTTTATTCAGTCTACAGATTCAAATGCTAATCTCTTCCAGAAATGCCTTCACAGACACGCCCAGAAATAATGTGTTGCTAGCTATCTGGGCAACGCTTAGCCTAGTCGAGTGGACACATAAAATTAATTATCATGGAAGGAAAAGCAGATGGGTGGATCAGTGGGTAGATAGTATAGAAGAAAGCCTGGACATCCAGGAAGGGAAGGAAAGAAAAAACAAGAAGGAAGGATGAACAGACAGGAAAGAAAAGAAGAATGAATGGATGAGTAGAAAAGATGGCCGATTGGCTAGAAGAAGGAAGCATAGGTGAATGAGAGAAAATGAATAGGAAGGAAGGAATGTTGGTTGGAAAGAAGGATGATTGGGAAGAAGGAAAGGATGTTTGGAAAGGATGGGTGGATGGGAAGGAAAGGATGAGACGTCAGGCAGGAAGGCTGTCTGGGCAGCAGAATGATGGACGGACCACTGCAATGGTCGGACAGATCGGAACAAGAGATTAGAAGAATAAAGGGAAAGACACAAGAAGGAGATTAATTTTTTAATTCTTTTGGCCAAAAGTGTTTGAGGGCAAAATAGGGCTTGAAGAGAGGAGTGGGAGGGATTAGTTCAGTTGGTCAGGGTGTGGTGCTGATAACACCAAGGCCCAGGGTTCAATCCCTGTACTAGCCAACTACCAAAAATAATAATAATAATAATAATTTTTTTGCCTTCTCCCTGAATTTCCCCCAATTCTCTGATGGCACACCCCAAGCCAGAATGACCCTTCCTGCCTCTACACTCCCTTCGCGCTTTTCCTGCTCTCATCTGTGGCCCTGGTCACTTTCTTTCTCGAGTTTTGGTAGTTCACATATTTCATTTCCCCCTAAGCTTTCAGTTCCCATGGGTCAGGATCCATGGAGACCTCATCTCCCCATTCCCCTCAGCACCCTTCCCAGGACTTGATACATAGTCAATGCCCAGCAGCTGTTTCTTGAACATATAAGTAGTGGCATCATGGGGAAGCCACATGTTTACCCCGAGGAAGAAGCCACAGCAGAGATGACTAGAGGTGTGGTCAGAGTTCCCTTCTGGCTGGGAGTCAGGGAAGTCTTCATGGAAGAAGTGGCATTTCAGCTAGAACTTAAGAGATGACATATTAGTTTTCTCTTGCTGCCATATTCCTTATCACATTGATCCCTTCATCTTCAAACCATTGTGCTAACCTAGATGGCCTTGAACAGAGTGTCAGTAGAAATGTGGACATTAAATACTTTGCTAAGGAGAGCTGGAAGGAAGTGAGGTGCATCATAGAGAAAGCCTAAGTCTCTTTCAAAAATACCCCAATTGCTGTAAAGAGACTATTAGTAGAAATCATGGGGGTTAAAGGTGCTGCTTCACAAGGTGAGGAACATGTTACTGAAAACTTGAGAAAGGGGATCCTTGGTATATACTGACAGAAAGCTTAGCAGAACTGTGTCCTGCAGGCATTGGAAAGCAGAACTTACAATGAACTTGGATATTTACCTGAGGAGGTTTCCAAATAAAGTGCTGAAGGTACGACTTGGTTTCTTCTTGCTGCTTACAGTAAAATGGGAGGGGAGAGAGAGAAATTAAGGGTGAACTTAAACAAAAAGGAACCAGGACTTGAAGTTTGGGGAAATTCTCAACCTATCCAGATGGCAGAAGACTCTAAAGTTAAGAGCTAGCTTCCAAACATGTAACGTAGAGAAACAGCCAAGTGTGTGATTGTACCATCTTTTACTAAAACCTCAGAAAGATCAGAAGATCAGAGTGTTCTCACACAAAAGGCTCTTTGAAGAGATTAAGGGTATGACTCACAGCTCCCCTCAGTCAAACCAGGGACCTCTACGAGGCTGAAGTGCATTGTCCCTCAGCATCTCAGCTGAAGCCAGAAGTAGAGAGGGGCTTATCTCAAAAAAGATTGGTGGACCTGGCTTCTGCCTCATGGACTGGATCCCCATGACATCCACAGGAGACCCAGACAGTTCTTGAGAAATTTATATCCACAGAAACACTGCCAGCTTGGACTAAAAGGGACAAAGATTATGAAATAAAAGAAGGCTGTTGGACTCCCCAATTTCTACTGGCAAGACACAAACTGATAAAACTACTGAGCTGCAAATACCTGCTACTTTCAGTAAAAAAGGAAGGATGGCTCAGAGGGTGGAATCAGGAGCTCAAAGGGCAGTGCTAAGAGCCAAGGAGAATTACTGAAATGTAACAGAGTTTGCTTGCCTGGATTTTGAAACTGCTTTGGGCCAATGACTCCATTGTACCTTCAATTTCCTCCTGTTTGAACCAGAATGTCTATAACTGTTACCTGTGCCTGTCCCACCATTTTATAGTGGAAGCAGATGACTTGTTCTTTAGTTTTAGTGGCCCACAGGTAGAAATTGTGCCCCAGGAGTCATACTGATGGGATTTTGCCCAGAGTCTCATCTGGATCTGATTTAGATACTGTTGATGATGAGATTTTGGAATTTGAGTTGATGCTGTAATGAGATGAGACCTTTGTGGACCTTGGGATGGGGTATTTTGCATTTGAAAAGAGCATGAATTTGGGGGGTGCCAGAAGGAGGATCATGATAGGCAGAATGACCCTCTAAGATGTTCTACCCTAATCCCCAGGACCTGTGAATATTGCATGCAGGTGAATATAGCATTGCATGGCAAAAGGAATTCTCATTAAGGTTATAGACCTTAAAACAGTGAGATTATCCTGGATTATCCAAATGGGCCCAGTCTAATCCCATCAACCCTTAAAAGCAGAGAATTTTCTCCAGCTGGAGGCAGAAGAGATGTAGCCAAAGGGGAAGTTAGAGAGATGTGAAGTGTGAAGAAGACTCGATTGTGCCGTTTCTGGTTTGAAGATGGAAAGGCAATGTGATAAGAAATGCACGTGCCTTCAGAACCTGAGAGAGGCTCCCGGCTAACAACCAGCAAGGTAATAGGGATCTCGTCCCTACATCCACAAAGAACTGAATTCTGCCAACAACCTGAGTGAGCTTGGAAGTGTGTTCTCCCCCAGAGGTTCCAGATGTGAGACCCAGAGCAGAAGAACCAGTTGAGCCCACCTGGACTTCCGACCTATAGAACTGTGAGATAATAAGTTTGTGTTGGGTCATTTATTATGGCAGCAATAGGAAACTAATCCAGATGGGCAGGATTCTGACAGGCCAGGGACAAGTGAAGGACACTGAGGTGGAAGGGACAGCATGAGTAAAGGCAGGTCAGCTGTGCACTTAGCCAGGTCATTTCACTTCTCTAAGCCTCAGTTTCCCCTTCTGTAAAGTGGAAATGGAGATAGTTCCTTCCCAGAGTCAGTCCAGGGCTTAAGCAAAGTGGCTGTAAGGTGCTTCCTGCACAGTAGGTGTTTGACAAATGCAAGTGTTGCTTTTCCCTTTGCAAGAGAGCCCTCTGGTCTGGGTGGAAGCAGCGTGACCCCCCAGGGGGTACTGACAGGTCCTGATCTGTTTCTGCCAGTGGAGCCAGCCCCACCCGTCCTGGTGTTCACCCTGACGGAGGAGATCCTGAGTGCAAGTGCCACATACCAGCTGCCACCCTGCACACCGCCACTGGATCTGAAGTATGAGGTGCAATTCTGGAAGGAAGGGACCAGAAACAAGGTGGGAAGCCCCTTTCCTGTCCCCAGACTAAATCCCCTCTCCTCCCCTCAACACACACCCCCTCCTGCCCCACCAAACCCAGGTTTGCTTCACCTTCCCAGCCTGCTCCCTGCATGCCTCCCCCAGGAAGCCTTCCCCATATACCCCAGACTCCTGGCAGTCAGCCCCTGACTTGTGCACTGTGTGGTTGGCCTGTGGCCCACCCTTGCCCTTTTCCACCAAAGAGACTAAGTACAGGGCATCCTGCCCCACCCAGCACAGGTGGCAACAGCACAGCCATTTTCTACCTAATATCTCTTTAAAATTACAAACCCCTCCTTTCTGTTTTTCAATAAAATCTGGTTGAAATGTGATGGGCTATAGGAGGCCAACTTGCCAAGTCATCAGATTCATTACAGGAAAATCAGAAAATACAGATAAGCGCTAAGAAGCAAACCAAAAATACCCTGAGATGACCATGAATAACTAGTGCATATCTAATTTCAGAGTTGTTTTCTGTGTGCACATGTGAGTATGCCTGCATTTATTTACTTACGGCAAGGGTTGGCAAACTTTTTCTGCAAAGGGCCAGATAGTAGATATTTTTGGCTTTGTGAGCCATGTGTTCTGGGCCATATCAATGCAATTGTAGTACAAACGGAGGCATAGACAATATGTACATGAGTGGACATTGCTGTCTTCCAGTAAAACTGTTTACAAAACAGGGGCCATGTGTTCTGGGCCATATCAATGCAATTGTAATACAAAAGGAGACATAGACAATATGTACATGAGTGGACATTGCTGTCTTCCAGTAAAACTGTTTACAAAACAGGTGGCAGGCTAAACGTGGCCCACAGGCTGTAGTTTACCGACTTCTGCTCTCGTTCACTCTTCCTTCCACTAAACTAACATCCACACTCCTGATCTCCTGCATGCTTCTGACCCTCAGTATATAGATCTGAATCCAGTGTGGTTTATGTCTTCAGGAACCTCATAAATATTCTAGATGAGCACTGTCCAACAGAAATGTAATGCAAGCCACATGCATAATGTTAAGTGTTCCACATTAAATTAAGTAAAAAGAAACAGGTGAATTTAATTTTAATAACAGAGTTTATTACATCTAATAGAATGTTATCATTTCAACATGTAATTAATATAAGAATTATTGAGATTGTTTACATTCTTTTTTCACTGGATCTCTGAAATCTGATGTGTATTTTGTACTTAGAGCACATCTCAGATTGGACCGGCCACATCTCAAGTGTTCAGCAGCCACATGTAGCCAGTGCCTGCTGTATTCGACAATGCAGCTGTAGAGTTTTCTGTGCCTGTGATGGCTGAAGGACCCCCC